ACTCATTATCCAAAAGCATTTTGCGATAATGCTACTCAAATAAGTATTGGCAAACTAAACCAATATAAACTATGTTACAGAAGTTCTTGAAAATACTCCTTTTGCAAATACTGTTGCCTTGTCTGAAGGAGGAGTTTGCAACTTTCATGAGCCAGGATGTGTTTTGGGAAGGATGTAACTAAGTGGGGCTTTGAATATTTGAACTATGTGGCTGCAATCTTTGCCATTTCTCAGCCAGGTTTTTGATGTCTCTGTTGAAGGATGAAACTTTTAATGGAAACATTGAGAGCTGTTGCGCTCTGCTGCCCGTTTTGTTCCCAGCTGTGTGTTTGTTGATGTTGCTGCCCACAGGAGAGTGGAACAATAATACTCTCTAGGGAGTATTAGGGAGGGAGTCCCTTGTGGAGAGGCAGCCAAGGGTTGTGGTTACATATGTTTTGTACTCAAAAAAAACCAGGCAACAGCACAAAGAATGAACCCACAAGCTTCAGGAAAGCAGCCTTGCATTTCTGAGGAAAGCACTGATCAGAAGACAAGCAGGTTTTGTTTTACAGTGTCCAGTAGGAACTGCCATGTCTCTTCTCTGCCACAGTTCATTCTGCAGGAGGTGGATATCACCCTTCCAGAGAACACAGCCTGGTATGATAAATACAAATATGACATACCTGTTTTTCACTTAAATGGGAAGTTCCTCATGAAGCACCGAGTCGACGTTCCAAAGTTTGAGGACCGGCTTAGGAAACTGGAGCTGCAAAGTGAGGGAAACCAGTGAAGAAAAGGCAGCTGCTCTGAGGCGGATCTCAAAGGTGAAAAGAACTTTGTGAACAAAAACCAAGACGTATTCATTATCTGGCCTTAAATTTATTAGGACATACGACTGTGAAAAGCTTGAGTGGCTCATGTTCTGTTTTGTATTGATCACCCAGCGCTATTGCACCAGGAGCCACTTTTCCTGTGCTGTTCATTTGCTGCTCTCCTGGGCTGCTTTTTGTTCTCTGACAGAATAAAAGCAGCTCCACAACAGCAGATGAAGTGAACTCTGTTTGTGTGGGGCTGGCATGGCCAGGTTTGGGTGGTGGTACAGGGGTGGTTTCTCTGAAAAGCTTCTGGAAGCTTCCCCTGTGTCCCGCTGAGCCAACCAGCTCCAGGATGGATCCTCTGGCCACATCTGAGACCATCAGTGGTGAGGAGGAGGAAGGAGAGAACATTTAATAAAACGACCACAAACCCTCTTCTCCATCTCCCTGAACCACTGAGGGGAAGGAGGAAGAGAAAATTGAGAGTGGAGTTAAGCTTTGGAAGAAGGGAAGAGTGGGATAAAGGAGTTTTAAAGATTTAGTTTCTTTGTCTTCATCCTACTGTGATTTGATTGGTAATAAACTAATTTCCCTAAGTCTCTTCTCTCTGTGTTTTCATCTCAACCCAGGAGCCTTTTATTGTATTTTCCCTCCTCTGCCCAGCTGGTGAAGGGACTGATGGGGTGACTTTTGTGGGTGTGTGGCATCCAGCCAGGATCAGTGTTTAAAAGATGTTTAGCACGTGTAGATGGAGATTAGATGTGTAGGAGAATTCCTTGAAGAAGTCAAGGAGCCCATCCTAAATGATAATTCAAATTAGAAAATAGGGCATTTACTGTTAGGTTAAAAGGGCACTTGATTAAAGACCACACACTCTCACTGGAATTGTATCTGTAAAATGATCATCACAATTTGATACAGTTATTGCTAACACCTCACACTGAATTGTTTGTTTTTCACATTTCAGTTCTGTCTGGCACGCAGCTGCAAATCTATTTATCATGTGGCAAGAAAGCCATTTTTTCCAAGGATTCCTGCAGTTACATTAGTTACATAGGCAGTGCAGGCCTGTGAAGGAGGCAGAATGCCCAAGTTAAACATATTTTCAGGAAGCAGAGAATGACAGATTCAGGAAAAGACAACCATTTTAGGTTAAATAATCTGTAACAGACTACAGAAAGTTGCTGGTATTTTTGATGTACTCAATAGATTCTTTAACACAGAAACGAATCCCTACCTGCTGCATTTTTGTTCTTCTTATGGTGATACTCAGTCTTTTCTTCTCACTAGGAATTTAAGCAGGTTCACTTGACAGATGTGTTTTCACAGAGGGAAGAATCCAGATGCAATGCCTGGCTGGAACAGCAAACTGAAATACAGCAGGATTCAAGAAGAGCTCTAAGTTTTGGAGTATGGTTTAATGAAAAGTCAGCTGATGGGAAAATGGGCTTCATGGCCTCACCCTGCAGTGTCTTTAGCATTTGACAGATTATTTGCAATCCAGTTTTGATGTAATCCCCAAGATTAAAAATTTCTGGGGAGGAGTGAGTAAGAAATTAAAACTTTTCTCCAGCTTAGCAGCTTCAGTCCACTCAGGCTGGGGTCGGAAACTATCCAAGGTTTCCGAGGAGGGAGAGCTGTGCCATTTTTATAGCAGAGGACTTGAGGTAAGTTCAGCCAGATCATGGATCTACAGAGTTTTTCATCACCATTAGCAGAAGAACAGGGCTCTAGAGACAAAAACTTCTACACTTTCTGCAATTCATGATGCTACAGTCAAAATTCTGACTGTTTCACGAGTCACTGTTAAATAAAAGATCTGAATTATCTCTGTATCAGCAAGTGCCACTTGCCTCTCTTCTGTGATTTGAGATGGTTTCAGAGGCCCAGTTTTTTTCCTTACTGAAGTTTTCGTGATAAGAGAACTGCATGGAGCACTTGTCAACCATAGCTCAAGTGCTCTCCTAAAATGCAACAGCATTATCTCAAGGGTAGGGACAACAGAATTCATGTGGACTCACCCCACTTCCCAAAATACATAACTGACAGAGACTGGCAGGACTCTCAGAGAGCTCTTTGCCTTTGTTTTATTTTAGTAAGGTCTGTTTTGGGAAGGAAAAAATAAAAAAAGAGGAAGCTAAAACCAAACTTCTTAATCATTTTAGAGTTGATGAATCCCTTGTTCCTTTTTGTGTCGGACTGTGGAGAGTTTCCTCTGTAGCCACTGCCAGATACTTTTCCCCCCATTTATTTTGTGAAGTGAATGATAACAGGATTTCCATAATAGCTTTTGTCCATTGCATAGCTTTTATGAGTGAGATTGAGCTTTTCCATTAGGGCTGTGCTGCCGAAAACCTTCCAGTGGCTTTACTGTTCTGCACTTTTAGGAGAGTGGAAACCCTCTTTTCATCAGCTTGGACACAGGGATAGGAGGTGGGAATGTGTCAACATGTAGTGTGGGTGGCACAGGCTCACCTTCATTTTCCAAAAGCAGGAAAGGATGCATCCTATATAAATTTGAGATATTTTTTCTCCTTCTTCTTGAGTGTAAGGAATGGAGCTGTCTCACAGCACATGCATCTCTCTAATCAAATGTGTTGAAGTATAACACAGATATTAAAAGGAAAAGGTATTTGCCCCTGCTGAATATATATTTATGGAGCAATGTGCAACTTTGTGAAAACTGGCAATTTACTCTTTTGGCAGTGAGTATTGGCAGGAGTGCAAAACCTTGTAATGCATTATCTCTGTAGTAAAGGAGAATGAATACAAGATGGATTTATTTCCTATTTCTGGCCAATTAAAAAGCACACAGACAGTGTCCTGTCTTCTTCCAGTAACTATAAAAAGCCAAACACCCACTGGGCTTACTTTCTTCTGTGTTCTGCTTCTCTGACTGTTTCTTTGTGTCTTTAAATTGTACACAAGACATGGAAGAAAATGTCTCATTTTCTTTTAGGCACAGCACTCCAGGCACAGCGTCTCCCTGTCCAAAGTGCCCTGTACATAATCTCATATTTAGCTGTAATCACATGGCCATCTGGATTAACTACATGTGGAAGTAAACAAAGACCGGTGTGCAAGTGTTTACAAGATCTTTTTTTTCTGTATTCTTTTTTTCTTTTTTTTTTTTTTTAATTTCAATGGCAATATCACTTTCCAGGCAGTTTTTCTTTATAGTCTACCAAAAACATCTCTCTTCTTTTCCATCATACCCTGGAAGGCTCCATCCCATTCCAGTGAAACTGCTTTGCCTTGTAGACCCAAGCCTGAATTTTTTGAAAGTCATGACTGGAACTGTGAGAACAGAACAGTTTATTCCAGTTAGGGAACTCCATCTGAATAATAGCTTGAGCTGCTTAGGCAAAAAAATCATGGTAATAACAACACAATTTATTCTCTGTCCTCTGTCCTCACCTCTTGTAGCATTTGAGATCAAATTCTGGTTCTTGGTCTGGATCTTCCAGAGATAAATGACATATGAACAGGCCATCCAAAGGGTAGAAGGAGTTCCTGCAGGATTAAAACACTCTTTGCTTTTCCATGGAATGAGCTGCAGGGACTGAGAGCACTCCAGACCTTCCTCATTCTCCCTCAGTGCTGCCTTCTGGGGCACATATGGTTGATTACAAGGATAAAAATTAAATCCCTGCCAGTCATGCACAGATCTCACTGAAATGAGACACTGCCTGCATCCACTCCCTTCTCCTGGAGGGAAGGCAGAAGATGTGGAATGTGTGATATGGATTGCTGGAATGCACCTAGACACAAGGCCTGGGTGTGCAAAATTCAGGGTCTTGCTACAGCCCAGGTAGTTTTAGCCTGCCACATAAAGAAATGAGACCACATAATCCTGAGTCAGTCCAATCCTTTCCCTTCTTTTGTCCCCTTCCTGAGTTCTTCCCAGGAATATTTAACCCTGGAACCCATACAAGGTGATACAGATGGGGATTTTTCTTGAGGGCTTTGATGCTGCATTTTTTTGTTTGGTTGGTTTTGGTTTTTGGGGGTTTTTTGTTTGTTTGTTTGTTTATGGTTTTTGGGGGGGTTGTTTGTTTGGGTTTTTTTGGGGGGGGGAGGGGTTTGGTTTTTTTTAATGTTTGGTTTTGTTGTTTTGGTTTTGGGTTTTGGTTTTAGTTTAGTTTTGAATTGGGTTGGCGCTTCTTTCCTCAGTATGACATTCCCTGAACATTCCCTGGAGATCTGCCCCCAGAAAAGTGGCACCTTCCTCTCCACCCAGTGGAGCAAAGCACCGTGAACCAAACCACCAAACCACACACGGGCCTGATTTGTACACCAGCCCCAACTTGAGCTGCTTCTCCAGGAGGTGAGACATCCACTGCTCCAGGATCCCCGAGGTGCCCGGAGCTGAGGCTGCACATCTGTTCGCAAGGCTGGCATCCAAGAGACCTCACTGATGTCCCCACTGCATTAAAACCTAGATTTCTGCTAAATTTACCTTTCCTGCTAAGATGGGCTGAGTCACTTGAGCATGCCAGGCTCTCCTTTTTTATTTCAATACACACAGGTATCACCTGTGTGCTGTTTCCATCTCCACCTGCAGGTGCAGCAGTGTTGCTGGGGGTGAGCATGCAGGTGCAAATATTAGTGGGCATGTTTTTGGAAAGCCAGCCGAGGGCAGCTCCTTCCTGCCCCTGTGGTTTGCCTTCTAGTAAAATTTTAATGCATCTTGCTGCTTTAACAGCTGCATTCAAGGAACGCAGCAATTTCATGAACTACCATCCCAGCCCTGAAACAGTCCTTTTATTTCTGAACAAAGCAAGTGTGACAGAGGAGAACCGTGGCTGGGCAAGGAGAAACATTAGCCTGGGAGGCTTTTCTTTGGAACTTGGGGCTGCATTATTTTTGGATGCATCTTCAACTGAGTCTCAGCAGCTCTGGAGCTTCCAGCGCTGAGGCAGCTTCGGGAAAGCTTCTCCCCCTCTCGGACCCCGGACACACGGCGCTTGTGAGGCTTTTTGATCAGAAAAAAAACGACAGGAGAACAAGACGCCAAGATGGAATTCCTTGCTTCCCAGCGCTGTTCGCGGCTGGCACGGCGCTGTCGCTACCCGGGCGCTCCTTTGTGTCGCTGCTGCTCCGCGGGCACCGCCGGGGAGGAGGAGGAAGAGGAGGAGGAGGAGAAGGAGGAGGGGTTGATGGAGAGAGGTCCTGCGGCCGTAGCTACTGCTCCTGGCTCTGTGCCGTGGGTTCGGCCGCTCCATCCCCGTGTTTGGAAGGGCAGCGGAGGGTCCGGGAGCGGGAGGTGAGTGCGGCACGGGGATGGGAATCCGCGCTCCTCGCCTTGTCTGTGCGGCGGGAAATCGCTGCTTCTTTCTTCTCGTTCTTCTTCTTCTCCTTCCTAATGTTATGGTCATCGTCGCCAGGGCTCTCCGGTGCCCAGCTGGGGTTTGGGGTTTGACTCTTTCGTTAAAGACAAGGAAGGAAATCCATGTGGAGAGTGGTAATGCCCAGCGTGGAGCGATCCGGCTGGAGGCTCTTTCAGGCAGAATTACCTTCGGCACTTCGCGGAGGAAAGCAATTCAGTTTCTGTCTGTTCCAGAGGTTGTGACAAACTGTAGCCATTTCTGGGATTCAGGCTGAATTTACTTATTCAGCCATAAATCCTTTTGCCTTTTTTTTTTTTTTTAATTTTTTTTTTCCTTTTAATTGCCGGGTCTCATAGGGCTCTTTGCAGATGTATAAGGGGTTATGAAACTCCCCAGTAATGTACTTGCCCAGGTCAGAGGAGTTTACCTTTCGACTCAATTCAAAGCAAAGTTTAAATTTCAAAGCAATTGTTTAAACTTAAATTTAACCCTGCGTTGCCCTCTCTGGGGCTGCTGGTGATGCGTGCAGGATGTTTTACCAAGTACTGTCTCAACTTTGGCATCCCCGAGCCATCAAACCGGTGAAAGCAGGGCATCTAAATGAATTAATTTGTCTATCAGAGATCACTTGTTTTGGCAAGGATGTTTGCAGGCCATCCAAGGTCCGTTGGAATAAACAGGAAAACTCTCACTGAGGATGACTCATGTCCATGGGCTTTGGACCCAGTGCAGGATGCTGGAAATGTGCTTTGCCAAGTGGAACTCTGTGGGTAACCCTCCCACAGCCCCTTTGGCTTGTAAAAGGGAGTGGGATGAGGTTTTTAACAAAAAAACGGTCGAGAATGGTCTTGGGGAGTAGTGTCAGACAAAAAAACTTGCGGGTTTGTGGCTTGCTTTAAATACATTTGCTAATTGCGCGTGTGCTCCCTGGGGTTTTACATGCCATTGATCTTTAATTAATTGCTAATGGCTGAGCTGGCTGCTGTTTGCGCGGCTGATGAGGCAAATTGCAGCCTGTCCTTCTGCAGTAATTATTTACTTGTGGTGGCACTTGGGGTGTGCAGCCCTGAAAGCTCCAGGTGTGGGGGGCACCGGACTTACCTGGGAGCACGCAGAGCAGCTGGATGATGGATTTCCCCCTCAGAAAGGACTTTTCTGATACCTTTCCTGATCTCTTGCTTATCACAGGCCGCACAGGATTTCACAGATAAGTTGTGCATCTAGCCCACGGCTTCTGTGAGGTCTCCACTTGCCCCTATGGACGGGCTCCATCCATGGCAGGGCTCCAGGCATGTCTGAGCCACAGGCTTCAGCTCTGAAAGGGTGAGTGATATCTTCCACTTGACATGGCTGTGATTGGGCTGAGAGCTGCTTTCAGCTGTCAAAATACGTGTTTTTGCAAATAATGCCCATTAAAGCACGCCAGGGTAGCTGTGGTTGTGGTGGCACTGGTGTTGGCAGAGCCACTTTGAATTTGTGCGTGTTCTCCTCCGCAGCAGGTGCAAAGGGATGTGTGCAGTTCCTGTAGCAGCAGAAACTTCACCTATGTTTGGAAACACACCTACCCAGCTTGTTCTTTGCAGTCCTGCAGGGCCTCTTGACACCAGTTGTAGAGGGGCTGCTTCTGAATCATGTTCTGAACGGATTCATCCTCGGAACACCATTGACCCGATAACAATGTTATCCTGAAGATGAGTCCAGCCAGTTGGAGCAGGCCCAGAAGAGCCATTGTGGGCATCCTTCCCTTAAAATAAAACAGATTATAAACCAATGAAAAGTATCTGTGAGCATCACAAACGTGATCATAGCAGATTTCTGCTGCCAGGAGGGTGTCCTGCTTTCCTTATGGGACCTGGCAGTAAGAAATGCTGCTGCTGCTGTTTAAAAACCACGGCCTGAAAGGGAGGGAAGTTATTTGTGACACAGGGCAGGAAGGCTTGGCACAAAATCAAACTGCTGGGAGCCACCACAGTGATGATGTGAGCGCCTATCACGGGGTTCCTGCACTGCTCCTGTGCCACCCTCACTGTGCCAGCCCCCTTGACAACGTGCTAAAGGTGATTTTTGGTGTCCTGGCTGTGGTGCACCCCTCCAGACAGCAGAGAATCCCTCATTTCTCTTTCTGGTGATCACTGAGCCTGTTTTCAGAGCAATACAAAGCAACAGGGAGGGAAAGAGAGTATCTGGCATCTCTCTCACTTTGCTCTCATTTAAGCTTCGTGCAAGGCAATGTAGACCAGAATTAATTACTAATTCTAATTATACTTTGTGTCTTTGAGATATTGATGATATTTTCAATTTCAAATTTATGCATCCGCAGCTTCTTTTTTTTTTTTTTTTTTTATTTTCCACTGCAGCAACAAAGCCAGGAAAGCTCTTAAACACAGATGCCTATTTTAAGCCTGCCAGCAGTCCCTTTGACTTAATTCAGCTGAGTGACCCAGGGCAATTGTTTGGTATAAAATTCTCTTTTTCCTGATGGCAGTTGAAATTGTTGTGGTTTTTTTCATGGTTTTGGGGGAAGAAGAGGAGAGAGGGGAGAAGGGAAGAAATTGCTTATTCCTGAAGATACAGATACTTCCTTACACAACTTGGCCAAGCTTTTCTGGGTAAACCCTCAAAATGGGGATTCTTGTGTGATAAAAATTCTGGTGTCTTGGTACTGGCTTTCACCCTGAAAAAAAAACCTCTGGGTTTTGTGTGACACTCATTCCAGACAGTTTTAAAAGGTCTTTTTCATTCTCACAACACTTATTAATTATATTACATATTAATTAATATAATTATATTAATATAATTATATTAATTAGTCTATTCTTTATAGTAATATATTATATATTAAAATATATATTAATTATATACTTTATTAATTATAATAAAACTACTGATAGATCTGTCTCAGACATGTCTGTTTCTGACCTGGAGTGAGTCCATGCCTTGGCACTTTACCATCCTTCCACTCTTTCTTGTCTTCACCTTTTTTCTGCATTAAGCTCTTGCACTTTCCCTTTTCCCCCCACGATCTGCCAATATTTACCTCACAGTTTTTCTTTCCTTGGTAACCTTTCCCCTGCTGGAATGCAGCTGGCAGAACCCGTGGATTTGCCAGCATGTTTGCTCTGCATTTTGTGTTTTCTGTGTTCATTGTGGATGCTCTGAGCAGCTCAGGACAAGGATTTCAGTCAGATTTTCCCTTTCTGTGTTTGCCCCCATGCTTGGACATCAGCGTGGTGACCACAGTGGTGTTTCTTTGGTTGTGTCTCAGAGAGGTGTGCTAGTGCAAAACTGCGTGTTGGGTTTGTGTGGATTTATATGGGTGTATATGGATTTATATGGGACAATTCAGCACCCAGGTCTGGGAGTTACCAGTGGAAAGGAGGGAACTAGGATCAGCACCAGGGCTACAAAGGGAATGTGGCAGTGACACTGATGAAATTTGACAAATATGGGCTGAATATCACCTCATAAATCATGCCTGATCTTTGGGCCCTCCCTGAACTGAGAGCTGCACCTTCCCATCCTTATTTTTCTTGGTTCATGGATGTTGTAAGGAATTCCCATCTAACAGCAGTGCATTTGTTGTGCTCTGTTCTGAGAAATTATGATTACTGGCACACTTCTTTCCTAACAACCAGCTTCCTCTTGGAGCTGTCGCTCAGTTTGATTTTTATGCCACAGATTAGCAATATCAGACTAATTCCTGCTGGTGGAACCCAGTGCTTGACACTGTGGTACCTGAAAATACACAGAAAGGATGAGGGGGCTATTTATAAAACAGGCAAAAAGCTTGTAGCCTGCATGAAGTGATGGAGAAAATGAGGCACTACTTGAAAGAAGTGATGGCAAAAGAGCCTACAAATTACCTGTCCTTGAATTCAGTATTAAGTTGAAGTTATGAACAAATCTGTCCCTGGTATTACTATGTGGTAATATGCATGAATATTATCTGCTAATCTTTGGTCTCATTTGAAATGTTCTTCTGTTTTTTTTTAAATTAGCATTTGGTCTCCAACATTGAAGCTACCAGTGTAAGGTATCTGTATTAAATTTTAAAGATTACCTCCATCAATTTTTAACAATCTCCACTTCTTAAATGTATTACATAAAGAGATTTTAAAATGCAATTTCCTAAGAGTTTCTGAACCACCTTTAAGCAGGTGTAAAGCTGCTTTCACCTCATTTTGGAGGTTTTGGGCAGCAGTGGCAGGGGAGGTGCAGGGCTGTTAGTGATTCACAGAGAATTTCCTTTCTCAGGTCACTTTCAGGTCAAAGGTACCAAAAAACACCAGAGATTTCGAGTGCTCTTTGATAATAATAAACAATAAATATAACTTACATATACAAGATATATATATATATAGATAAATAAATATATAGATATATAATACTTGTAAGTATTATATATAATAAGTATAATATATAATATATATTATATATATAAGATTATAAATAACATAAATAATATTATAAATAATAAGATAATTAAGTATTATATATAATGTATATAATATATATATAAGATTATAAATAGCATAAATAATATTATAAATATTAAGATCAGTAATCAGTACAACTCCAGCCAGTCTTCAGACAGGTAATTTTCATTCAAACAGGTTTTTAAAAAGAGGAGAGAGATGTTTCTAAATTAGAGCACCTGTGGTTTAAAAGCAATGGCACTTAACACAGTGTTTTAGTCTTATTGATTATTCAGAATGAGGTGTTATATTTTCCTTTTGCCTTCCAGCATTGCAAGTGACTTTTCCTTGTACTTCTGCCCCTTTTTGGATCTAATTCTGCTGTTTGCTCCTCTGTGAAGAAATTTTCTCTCGTGAAGCCGCTGCCAATGTAAATTGAAAGGGTAATTTCCGGAGAGTTTTGAACATTGTGCCCATAATTCTTTTTATCAGAAACACATAAGAACTGCAGTTCTGCTATCTCTGTGAGGATAATATTAGCAGATTTCTCATCATCTTTGCACTGTCCTTACTGGAGTCTTAGCTTTGTGTTAAGAGCTCTTCTGGAGGCATTCCATAAAATTAAATGGAGATTAAAACTAATTGGTTTCTATGTTTCTAAGCCACTGTAAAAACTAGAATAATAAGATGAGGAAATTGTCTTTTTGAAAGTTTTTTTTCCTGCTGTTGAAAAATTTTATCACTAAAGAGTTATTTTCCTCTCCCATCCTGTAAAACTTTTACTAATGGCAAAGAATCATTCATTATATGTCTTAAAAGAAAACTGTAAACAGTAAGAAATAAGAATCAATGTGATTATTGAGCACAATTTATATCCCCAAAGTTTCAGTAATGCAAAAGCAAATTACAGGAGAACTTCCAGTATCTCAGTTATTGTATTCTGCTCATATTAGTCATGGTGAGTTTCTGGCTAGAAAGATGAAAAATGCAGTTTTCATATTTAATACCTGATATTTAATCTTTGAAAATCCCACCAAAAAATGGAATGAGGAGGTGATTTAGTGGTATAAAATGGGACAGGAAATGTCACAGGATTTAGAAGCCAAACCAGTGCATTTTGTGACCTTTGCTGTTGTCCTCTGGTGCTCATCTGAAATCCACCATGGATTTCTCTGCTTAGGAAGAACCTTTTCTTCAGTCATTCCCCATTGTCTGCAGAGGGGTATTCCCACAGTGAGGAAAATTGAGAATGGGTTTCTTTGCTGCTGACCAAATCTTTGCAGCAGGATCTTCACTGGACCTTCTCTGATTTTTGAGTCCTCTCATCTCTGCCTCTGTTTCCTCATGCAGGGGCTGAGTCTTGGTATCCTCATCTGAAAATACATTTAGGGGGGATTAGCTGAGGCATGGGAGCCAGGACACTTTTGAAATGCATTATAATCTGAAATAATTCAGTGCTCCTCTTAGGAACAGTTTTTAATTTAATCTACTCATAATGGAAAGGGAGAAATAAAGTGTCAAGGGGAAAAACACATGTAAACATGTGAAACGTAGGTAGCTACTTGTACTTATATTCCTATGTTACCTCACATTCTGTTTTACTTAGTTAATCTTGGCTGTTAGGTGTCTGTTGCTCAATCCAAATATTTGGCTCTTGTTTAAATTGAATACTTCAAGTAATTTGCCAGTGCATTGTTTTCTCTCAGTGTGGTCAGAGAACACACCAGTGGCTATTCAGACCATTTTTTTTTCTCTAAGTTGAAACTTTTAAATGAATATTTTATATGAATATTTTAAATGGAAACCTTTGCTAAAAGGTATTTTTTTAGTTAGTATCAATAAAGGATTTTTACAAACCAACCTGTGAGCCAGAAGGGGAGAGGCAGAGGTGCTTTCTCAGATCTGTAA